TGCAGTGTGATAAAACATGAAGCAAAATAAAGTCGGTCACTGGGGCTGTGTTATCGAAATGACTGTATGTTGCGGATAAGCTCATGGTGATCCATACAGCGATGGCCATATTGATATTTAGGAATTTACTTTTACACAGCGCTTTAGTGAAACACACTGGACATCCAACACGTGGCAAACATGCTGTAATAGCTGGGCTCTGCTGTTGTGTGCAAGAATGAAGTGAGTGTCCTTTACTAACTGATACTGAGGCAGGTTGTTGTAACACCCTGTCTTGCCCTGCACTCGTCTTCATCTGTTTATCCGCTCTTCTTTCCTTTCTCTTGTGCGTTTTGGTCTAGCCATGTGCCTCCTGGTTAACCAGCTTCCTGGTTATCTGCCTCACCTGTCCCTAATCTGTAGCCCCGCCCTCTCATTAGTCCCAGGCGTTTGTTCCCTATGTGTTTATACCCTTAAATATGTACACTTACCTTGGTTTCTAGAGAAATGGTGGCACAGGGGTCTCTGTCCTCTTATAGAAGCTGGGTGACCTCACAGCTATCCTGTAGAGGGGGGGAAGCAAATCTGGAGTAAAACCTGTAGAGAGAAAAAACGAATTAATTGAAACTATAGCTGAAAGTGAATATACTTACTATTATACAGGGGGATTCATTCGAAAGAGGCCCCAAATATTCTGTTGTAGCTCCCGCTAGGATGAAGCAATCTGAACCAAAAAAATACGCTACATACCTTGACGTATGTATAATTGATTGCATTACATGCGATGCTGGAAGTGATTTCTGTTTTCTGCCAGACACATGTTGATGCTGCCTTCCATGTTCCTGACTGTATCGGGTAGCATTAGAGAGGTTAAACGTCATGACGGCTGTCCAGCTCCTACCTCATCGCTCTGACGCGGGGTCATTTTGGCTTGTTCGAAGCTCCATCTACTGAGGAGCACATTGCACGTTGTTTCGTTCAGATTGCTTCATCCTAGCGAGAGTTATTACAGAATATTCGGGGCCTCTTTCGAGTGAATCTCCCTGTAGAAATGAGAAATGGACATGTAAATATTGTTGATGTTGCATATGTATATTTTATTGGTTGATGGTGAGCCAGTGTTGCATTGCCCCCCCCCGTAATCTGTATTGGTGTGTTCCAGCATCAATGACAGCAGGGTTTAGGCTATAAAGCTTAACTATAGGGGTTACTGAGGGAAGTGAAAGAGTAGGTTCGAGGCCTAGTGTGTAGTCTGTTTTTCCAGACATATTTAGTCGCTTCAAGCTGATGTTTAGACTGTGAGCATGAGTGCCGGATATTAGCTAAGGAGCTTATGGAGTCTTGAAGGGGAACCCAAAGGTTCTTTCCTGCTCATAGCCTTGCTGTACTGGTGACACCGTATCCCACTGCGCATGGTGGCGACGGTGAACCACTACAGTCTCCCTCTCCTTTACAGTTTTGTAGTTAGTTTCGCTTTCACAGATGTGGTTTAGTTCATGGTTCACAGGGTTTGAATTGTGGTGGAGGTCTTGGAGGGTCTCCTGTCTGTCAGGTCACCTCTGTATGGATACGTCCTTTCACACTATATTTTTATGAGGCATGTGTCGGGTTTCCAGTCCAAGTCGAGTGATGACGAGGCTGCTAACAGCATTTATTTCCTCTGTGTTCGCGGCTGCTGCTAACTTAAAGCTATAAAAGTATCTAAAGTTTATCATCAGTTTGAGATGAGCTCGGGCTCAGCTGAGTTTACGGGTTAGCCAGGGGGAGGAACACGATGAAAACTTTAAAAAAGATGGTCTTTCATTTTGTCAAAAAATTCACACTTTATTCAAAGAAGTAACTCAGGACCCCCAAAGTTTAATTCTGACCCCCCCAATGCCGCCCCCACCCCCACTCTCAGGTCAGTTGTTTGTTTTTAGCCTGCTGTGATTAGCGCTTAGCCGTTAGCATGTTGGCTGAGTGTTTGTAGAGCTGCTTTGTGTTGTAGTGCAGTTAAAACTAAATGGATGATGTTGGTGTACTGTATGTGATCTGTGGAATGTGTTAGTGTCTCTCTCTCTCTCTCTCTCTCTCTCTCCCTCTCTCTGTACGCTAGCCGGGCGCACAACGTTCTTCTTCATGTTTTGGATGCTTTGTGGTGACAGTTGATGGGTGTTGTATGGTATGAGGTTGATGAATCGCTTGTTGAGTCCGACTCTTGTCACTTTCTGTTTGTTTTGGCTTCCGCTGGACGCTGCTTTTGCGTCATGGACTGTCCTGATCTTGTAGCTCTAAACAAAGACTAATCCTGCGCGTGTGCTGTTTGTCTTTACTCGTAGTGATTGGAGGCTGTGTATTACTTATCTGTGGTTTTAAGGAGAAAACAAATCACATTTCTACAACTTAGATTCACTTCATGGAGAAATTATTTACTAGTGATAATTATGTCGGTTTGATTCAGTTCAAGTTGTCCTCAGAGCCTTGCACATTTAAAACTGTTACAGGCGTATCCCACCCCAGATATAGAATATATTGGTCCACGCGCCACTGACTGTTTGCCACTTGCATACAAAATCTAACTAGTTTTTAAGATTTTAAATGCACAGAGACCTTTATTTTGGAAAATAAACTAAGACAAATATTACAAATAACCGAGAGAACAAAAATAATGACTAGGCCTGATATACAATGATTTTATAAAAAATGTTGCTAGATTAAAATTATTTACTAAGCTAATTTACCAAGTATAATTAAAGAAAGGAAGGAAGGAAAAATCAGTAAATTGGACTGTGAGTGGAAAATGAGTAAGTGGAATTTACTGGACTGGACCTACTGAAATACTGTTATAAATACACTGTAATCTAAATCATTTTGATATATATACTGTTACTATATATATATCCATATGTGTCCAGTTGACGTCACTAATTTTGCCAAGACAAATTCCTTGGACATGCAAGCCAGTTGATTTTTTTTTCCTGATCTTAATATGATTATATGTCATTAACCCCTTGAATAGTGAGGACCAACCAACCAGTCCAAAGTTTAAATACACTCCTCTGTAACCTAAGAATATGTTTGCCTTGGAGTCCATGTAGTTACTGAATAATAAGCCTTAGTATGTAATCAGACTGAGATTTTGAGTGGTTAAACTCATACAGTAATACAGAAGGTGCAGTAAAACATACTGGCCTTGCAAGAGCAGAATTTGTTTACAAAGACGACACGTCCAGCAGTGGACAGTGATCGAGTGTCGCTCTGGATAAGAGCGTCTACCAAATGATGATGTAAATGAGTCACAGTCCAAGCCAAAGCCTGAATTGCTGCGAAATCTTCTACTCTGTCCAAGACTGGAGTTCTTGGGTTTAAATGGAAATTCCATCCACCTTAAAGAGCCATGAGGAGATAATCTCACACTCCTTCGTTCTTCACAGCATTAGCATAAACTCTCCTTCTCTGTATACATTTAGATGACGGGTCGTCGTCCAACAGGACTTATCTGAGGACTGATTTATATTTCCCTACTTAAGGATTGTTTTAAATAGAACTTCATGAACTAGTTATAGAGACATTTATAAATGTCTCTATATGACTTAACTGTTCTGTATGAAAATGCTAATGTATAAATGTATAATCTGTGGCAAATATTGGATGAAAGTATTAAAAAAAGGAATAGCTGACAGTTCCATTGTTGAGGATGTGGTTTGAGGCAAATGTGTAGTGACTCAGACGTGCCTCATAGCTTATAGACAGCTGCTAAAGCTAGTTTTAAAGCTACATTTGTCATTTTATATTGATTACAGGATGTCATACAGTTTAAAGAACCTCCACATAATGCAAGGGTCCTGTTAAGAACATTTAAATTGGTATAGAACTTTTACGTTATGCGCTTCACACTCACAGATCTTTATTTTCCAAACTTGGTTCTTTAGGGAATCCAAAGCGGTTCTTCTATGGCATCACTCAAAGAAAGAGTGTAGTTAACAGGCAAAATTAATGAAGCAAATGCCCCAAAACCATGCCTTGGCTGATCAACTACATTTGTGGTAGAGGGTTAAATTGTATAATTAGATTTTTGCTGAATTATTCCTTAAAGTGTTGTTTGTTTGTTTTTGTATATTCCTTAACCCCTGAACAAGCCATTGGACCCAACCTTTTATTACACACTTCTATAACCTAAGAAAAGCTCCATTAGTTTGCATTGAAGTCCCTGTAGTTACTGAATAATACACCGATCAGGCATAACATATAGGTGCACTTTGTAGTTCTACAATTACAGACTGTAGTCCATCTGTTTCTCTGCATACTTTGTTAGCTGTTCAGTGGTCAGGACCCCCATGGACCCTCACAGAGCAGGTACTATTTGGGTGGTGGATCATTCTCAGCACTGCAGTAACACTGATGTGGTGCTGGTGTGTTGATGTGTGTTGTGCTGGTCTGAGTGGATCAGACACAGCAGTGCTGCTGGAGTTTTTAAACGCCTCAGTGTCACTGCTGGACTGAGAATAGTTCACCAACCAAACATATCCAGCCAACAGCGTCCTGTGGGCAGCGTCCTGTGACCAGTGATGAAGGACTAGAGGATGACCAACACAAACTGTGCAGCAGCAGATGAGCTATCGTCTCTGTCTTTACATCTACAAGGTGGACTGACAAGGTAGGAGTGTCTAATAGAGTGGACAGTGAGTGGACACAGTGTTGAAAAACTCCAGCAGCACTGCTGTGTCTGATCCACTGCAGTGCTGAGAATGATCCACCACCCAAATAGTACCTGCTCTGTGAGGGTCCATGGGGGTCCTGACCACTGAAGAACAGGGTAAAAAGGGGCTAACAAAGTATGCAGAGAAACAGATGGACTACAGTCTGTAACTGTAGAACTACAAAGTGCACCTATATAGTAAGTGGAGCTGATAAAATGGACAATGAGCGTAGAAACAAGGAGGTGGTCATAATGTTACGCCTGATCGGCGTAAGTATTTGCATGAAATAAACCTGGAATGTTAGGGGGTTAAACTATTATGTGTTATGTTTTTCCACTGCAGGTGCAGGAAGCTCTTGAGGAAGCACCAAGTGACCCAGGTGGAGCAGACGAGTGCGAGTTAGGCTCAGAGTCACGTGGATGGAGAGAACGAGCGTCGGACAGTTCAGACTGGCACCGTGACTCGTGGGACGGAGAGGACGGCTTTTCGGCACTCCTTGGGGCGGAGCATCTTTACACTGGATGGCGTTTGGAGAACGGACTGGAGGCAGGGGAACGCAGAACACAGCACAGAGAGAAAAATACAAACTGCAGAGAGACTCCGAAGGAACCACAAAACTGCAGCACTCTTAACACAGAGCAACTGAACAAACAACACAGAAACACAGAGAACACGGACACAGAGGAGTTACACAACACAGAGGACTTGAATATACAGCACACAAAAACTCACAACGCAAGCCGAGAGGGACCCAGTACAGACCGCATAAACACACACAACAGAGACGTAGAGGAACCGAGCATCATACACAACACAGCGGACTTTAAAACACAGGACACACGCACAGAGAACACAGGCACTTCAGGTGTAGACCACACAGAAACTCATAGCAACGAGAGTACAGGTCCACAAAACACGGTCAAAAAAGACGAAACCACAAATCAAAACTTTGTGAGGTCACCGGTTAAAGACAACACAGGTGCACATTGTGCAGACACAGAAAGCAAAGACTTTACCGGTGCAAGCACAGCACAGGAGGAGAGAAAAGGCAACAGTGATGCACACAGTGAGAGACAACACTGTAAAAACTGTAAAGATGTGCATTACAGTGTCAACACTGGTTTACAGTGGACAGATGAATGTAGTTTAGATGATTCTAAAAGGCAAAGTAAGCAAAGTTTACACAGCACAGACAAACCTAACACAGGTATATATGAATGTATTAATATAAACATAAATGAAAGGTCACACAACGAGGGCCCACCAGGAATACACGAGTCGGGCAACCCAGAGGTAGAAATTGAAGAAACCACGCTGACACACTGCACTCAGAACCCAGACATATGCTGCAAAGATACACAAAGCACAGAGACCGTGGGCAACAGTACAGAAACACAATTCATAAAAGCATTTAGCGTCGCAGATACAGGTAACACAGGACAGATTACACGCTGCCAGCCAAGCCATTCCCTCCACTCAGACACACAGAGTACAGAAACAGACAATACAGGTCACAGAGCACAACCTTCTCAGGCTAGCCCAGATTTGCATCACAGAAACACAGCCAGCACAGTCCGAGAGCAAATCGACGACAAAACAGACGAGTACAGTTCACAAAGCAACAGTGGTGAGGACAGTCACACCGAGAGGCATAGCTTACAGGTGACAGGGTGGTGTAGCAAACATACAAGTACCTCAGACAAAGCTGACCATTCAGAAGTGAGTGAAACATGCTCTGTATACAGACACAGCCCATTTAGTTCCGGCACGCACACTAGTGAGAGCGGAAGGGCGCTAAGCACGCAAGACACTTCACTTGTTTACACGACAGAAGACATAACAGGCTCTGCTGAAAGTTCAGACAGGCCGGAGAACGCAGGAACAGCTGAGGAATACAGCTCAACTAACTGCACTAGGCAGGATGCACAGGCGCACCTGCATGCCTGTAGTCGCAACACATGGACTCAAGACACTGTATTTGAATCGAGTGTCCAGCCACAGACTATGCCAGCATGTTCAGTTGCTGAAAGAGCACTCTCAGATCAGACTGTGAACTCTTTAGTGTTGCTTAAAGAGGCTGTTTCAATTCCTAAGCTGGTTCACTCTGAAGGGACAGAAGCAAAGACAGACTCTTGTGTACCACACATTGGAACAGATTCTGCTGATGTTCAAGAGAGGCACCAGCAATCGGAACACAAGATCCTGACACCATCCTGCTCTAGAGACTTTGAGGATGTTGCCCAGATCTTCCAGCTAAATTCCCAACTTTCAGAACAGCAGGTTGAGGTCATTCCAACAGAGATAAATGGGTCAGGACTATTTCTGGCTAAAGAGTTTGAACTGCTATTGACTGTGCAGGACAGCGACAGAGGACCTTTGCCTGAGGAAGGGAGAAGCAGAGTGGAAGAGAAGGCTCATGAGGATACTCTCTCTACCTGTAGCCTCTCACTACAGCCCGGATCTCTGGAAAAACCTGCAGATCCCCTGCCCCTCCTACTCCTCACAAACAGTGACCTCAACTCCCAGAGCCCAGAGCTCTCGCAATCCTCTAATCTGACTTTAGAGAAAGACTTATCATGTTACTCCCTTTCTGCGGAGGAGAAGGTGGAGGATACGAGCCAGGCATTTGCAAGGTTCAAGGGAAAGGACTCTAAACATGGACAGAGAGTAGAGACACAGCTCTGTCCACCTCAATCAGCCATACATTTAGCAGAGATTTCTGCAGAGAGTTTAACTAGCACGGGCACCCCGCATAGCACTGTTGAAATATATGATCCTCTATTTATTGAACACAAGCACAGTCACATACATGAGCAGCCTATAGATCCTTCAGAGAAACAGACACTGGTTATTGATTTGGAACACATTGATTCTCCTCACTCAGATATCACGGTGACCCTGTGTCCGGAAACCAGCGCTGCTAAGATTACCGTAGACCCCCACCAAGCTGGCTTGCTAGCACAGGATATCCCAGGTCCTCAGTCAGATCAGCCTTGTCAAAACCTTGCTGTGTCCACTTACACAACTTTGGACACCACTCCAGAGGTCAAAGAAGCAGCAAGTATCAAGAGGTCGTACTTCTCAGCTTGTGACCAGTGGCTGGAGCCTTTTTCCGACGGTCCAGAGAGCGACTCTGAGGACAGTGACCAAACAGACTCCCTCAGTCAAGACAAGCCTGACCACTCAGTCTCTGAGCAGGGTTCGGCTACCTCGGAAGGTGCAAAGAAGTCTTCAGATCTGATCTGCCGTCTAGAATACGAGCAATACTGGAGCAGTGAGGATTCGGCTGTTTCTGGGCTTGGTGAAGACTTTCACTCTGACTTCTCACTGCCACAGGTGGAGCACCTTCCGCTGAAAGACTCCCTTGGTAAGAACACGTGTTTATATCCAGAAGGCCGTGTAGAGAATGCTGACCCAGACTTGTGCAGGGTTCAGACGAATCACTTAGACTCAAAAGCTTGTGCAGGCACAGATCTCGTACAGTTGGTTCATGCTGGAGTGGATCACTTGACACATTCTGCACGCTGCAAAGATAATCACCAGAGACATACGCACACATCACTCTGCACGGACTGTGTACAAGAGGCTGGTTTGGACCGCTCTTTGCCAAGCCAGCCGTGGTCTGAGGTCCTTGAACCCCCAGCAAGTTGTCTGGAGACAAAGGGTCATCTCCAGCCAGACAAGGAGCAAATAGTGTCCCAGTCTCTCCAGCCTTCCTGTTCTGTACTCCAGGAGAACAGAATAGACTCACACTTTATAGAAATATTTAACATCCCAGTCACAGAAAAGGGTGAAACAGAACACACTGCATTTTGCCAGCTGAGCCACAAAAGTGTAGACAGACAAAATACAGAAACACACAGTACAGGTCACAGATCACAGTTCACTCAGGCTATAAGCCTAGATATACACCACAGAAGCACAATCAGCACCTATACAGAGAGCAACCGTGGAAGGTACAGAGAAACAGAAGACAACAGAGCATTCATACAATCCACAGTGTGGGCAGCACACAGCCCAGCCCCAGGCCTGCTCCCTTCCCGAAGCCTGGAGCCTATTCCAGAGACAGAGCGCTGCTTGGAGTACTGCACTACTCCCGAGGATGAGGCTTCTCTAAGTGACAAGAAAGCAGAAGCCCAGCGAACGGGGAATGTAGAGATGAAGCCTGCTGAGTCAGACCGGGACGTCCTCGGGGTTACCTCAGGCATGCTGTCATCCAGCATCTCAGAAGGATGTGAAGGTAGCGCTTGTGATACAAATGTGTTGAAAAGTACTTGTTGAAATACTGGGTAATGCTTCATTTAAAGCCTGCCTACAAAGAGACTTCATAATACATGCGTAAGCATTGAATAACAGATTTTTAAAGCATTTACTAACAACTAATGCTGTTAATCACAAGATGACATAAGGTATTTTGATAAGTAAATGGCATTGCATTGACATGAAGCCTTAAACTAAAGTGACAGACATTTGTTCCGTTTATAACACTGTTATGAAGAATCATTAATTTGTTAGACTAGTTAAGAAAACCATATATCAGTTCTGTGTATTTCTACTTGAGTTAAAGTACAAAAGTACAGTTTCAACATATGTAACTCAACATATGTAAGGTTTTTCACATCTGCTCCACACAGATATTCATAGAAATGTGTGAATACAGACAGCAAACTTCTTAAAGTTACACTAAAGTACAGGATTTTTGTTTTACATGTACATTCATACATATAGAGATGATAGAGATGCATGATACATGTAAATATGATTGTCTAAGATCAGCAGACAAATCTTGGAACTGATAAATGAGGCCCTTAACTAGACCTCGGCTCTATTCCATTATTTGGGAATGATGCATCATAACAGTGTTATAAAAGGAAAAGTTTACCTCGCAGAACATCTGTTGACAAGTGACAAGTATTGCTTTATAAATATGACAAGTGTTGCTTTATAAATATGTTATTCAATTCTTATGCATGTGCTATAAAGTTCCTATGTAGGTAGCCTTCAATAAAGTAAGCCATTTCTAAAAGTGTTATTTTGGAACTATTTGTTTAAGAGAAAATCCTACTTAATTAGTGCCAGGATGAGTTTATTGATTTATTGTCTTATGAAATACTGAAGATATTAAGTGCATATTGTGCCAAGTGTTCCTCAGATGTAGTATTCCAACTAGCAAAATATCATCAACCCTCAAGTGGGCTACTATGGACAAAACTCATTTACACACGAAATTTTGCTGTATTGAGCTATTTATTCTTTATTAAATAAAAAATGTGTATTATTATGAGTGAAAATGTCATGATCACTTATAGCTTTTTCTATAGAAGTTAATTTCAGCTTATTTAGTTTATTTGGCACTCAAGTAAATGTTTTGTGTCTTTAAAAGACCATATATTTGATATAGTGGAAGTATGCAGTGCAATTTTTCTAGCCAAACAGTGAGCAACATAGTGTTATTTTATGGGAAGAGATGAGCTAAATTTAAGTTAAATTGAATGCATATATAATTAACCACATAACTATTGCATGTATATGGTAGAGCAAAATCACAATAACAAAGCTTGTGGGTTAAAAAGGTCACATAACACACTAAAAGTATACCTTTGTAGTTTGCGAGTCAGACGTGAGTACTATTAGAGTCAGAAAAGCATTGAACATTTTCTGCGTACTGAAATCATTTTAAAGTTTGTGCTACATTTTGGTTTTACTCCAGGAAAGTCTGAGGTCCAGCCATGCCCTGCTTCCTCAGATCAGAATGGAGGCGTGTGCCCACAGCCTGTCGACGTTGTCCCAGCCAAGAGTCCAGCGACAGCCTCTGTGGAGCTGGATACAAGCAGCATCAATAGCGAAGATCTGGAGGATCCTCGATCTCCTCCTGCAGGCAAATCACACAAATCCACAAGGACTAAAGCCAAGGCCTCCAAATTCTCTGTCTTTGCCAAAATGCCTTCCTTCAGGCGAGGAAAGAGTGCGTCAAGAGATGGCAACGGCAGTAAGGGCCACTCACCTGAGGGAGGGGTGGTGGACCTCCTTGTTTACAGGAGTCATCTGATCCAAGCTCCAGATTTAGCACAAGACCTAGAGGGTCAAGCTGACAATTCAGACGATGAAGTCTTCTACAAAAGTGATACATTGAATCAGACAGTGCTCCAGGTGTTGTCTGGTAGCCAGGTAGACACGGAAGAAGAAGAAGAGGAGAGGGATGATGATCGTTCGGTCCCTCTAAGCTCTACAGCATGCACAGGCCAAATTCAGGATGTATCTGACCAAAGGACTGTTGAGACAGAGGCAAGTGGAGTCACAGACACTGTCAAGCAAAGCACTGCTAGCGAATGTTCAGGCTACAGGAGGAGTAAGAGTACAGAGGGCCTAAGCCTTCGTCTGCGTTTCGCCCAGGCGCACAAGTCCCTGTCCAGCCTTTTTGAGTCTCGCTCCTTGGACAAAGACAGCGAGGAGCGGGAAGCACGACCAGAGGCTGAGGAAGTGCGTCCCAAACCCTCATGGAGGAAGCAGAAACGGGCAAAGGAGACAGAGCTCCTGAGACGCACCATGTCCGTTCCAGACGCAGATGGACCTAAAGCCACTCGGTTGATCCACAGTGATTATGCATCCCAGACCACGCAGGAACGACTTGGCCAGCAGGGGGCAGCACAATGCCACACGGACCCTCTTAGCAAGCGTGCAGTCTCCCAGGATGGTATTGAAGGTTCCCCACAGGGGTCCAAATCAGAAGGACGCAGGAGAAAGTGCCCTCCAAACGGTCTGTCGATCTCCTTCTCAGACTCTGGCCGCTTGTCATCTGATGACTCCTCCGAGGCCCCACCACCAGGTGACTCCAGTCCACTCTCGCCTGTGAGCCCCTCGACTCCCTCTGCACTGGCCAATCAGCTCTCTCCGTCCTGGTACAAATCATCACCAAGCACCAGTGACAACGCAGAGTCTCCAATGAGGCCCATGAGCCCCAAACCCAACAGCCCGCGGTCCTCAGGGTCAAGGCGAGGGTTCCGTTACCCTTCATCTCGGGCCAACACCCTCTCTCTGATTCTCATGGGACAGGGAGGGAGTGTCTTGGATCCTCCGGAAAGACCCAGGACCCTTAAACCTAAAGTGGGGCGCCAGGGATCACTTAGCCCCCTGAGCTCCAGCTGGCCCCTGGAGGACAGCAGTGCAGACAGCCAGTCTCAGGTCAGCCTGGTCAATGTCAGCGAGTTTGAGGTGAGCAGAGACCCATTTACTGTGCTTGCCAGTCTGTTTATTACCTTATGAATGTGATGTTTCAATTGTTACTCACAGAAAATGCACTATACATTAGGGATGTCGGTCTTGCTGCTGTTTCTAAAAGGATGCTGTGATATTGTGGATGGATGTTGTGATGTTGTGATGCAGTCACTTGTGATATATTTCCTGCACTAACACACCTGATTCAGCTTGTCAACATGCCTTTTAAATGAGAATGAGGTTTGAGGTAACATGGCAAATGGATTTGAGTAACTTGTCAAAAGAGTCTAATTCAAAGTATGGTGGTAGACTTAAACTGTGACGGCAGTGCCCTCTAGTGGAGCACCAGTGAATCACAACCAGCTGCTGATTAAGCAACCATTTAATGCTTAAGCCGGAGTAGATCTGATTAGATTGCATATTTATATACGCAGGGCACTCGCATGTCTGCTCTAGTGATGGTGATTACGTAGCCTTGGGACACCTCTGATCAGATTTAGAACTGTTCTGTGTCAGTTAATTTATTGTATGGTTTCACCTATAATATAACTTACCAGTCAGTACTTTGGACAAACAGAACCATTGTTAAGTAAAAAAAGTTCATCTAAACCCCTGAATTTTACTAAAAAAATGGGACACTGGGTTGATCAGAGTGTTTAAATCAGAGACCTGCAGTTCCAGAGAGCTACTATGCAGCACCAGCTGCAACCCCAATTCAACACTTTAAACTCAGATATGCGTGATGGTTTTGAGATGAGTGCTGACAGTCACCCTAAGCACATGACAGCATATGACATCTGTCATTACATCACCTGACAGGTAGCCGAGTTTAACCCCTGAAAATCCCAGCCTTATTACATACTAAGGCTTATTATTCAGTAACTACAGGCACTTCAGTCCAAACTGGCTGAGCTATTCTTAGTTTATCGAAGTGTGTAATAAAAGTTTGGGCCCGTCAGCAGGCTCTGCCCATTTAAGGGGTTAAATAAAGTATTACCAAAAATATTAATCAACATAAAGGAAAGAGGCACAAACTAATGTTTTTCCCAGCACTTTTTTGGACTTTTACTCGCCCTGCTTTGATTTGCAATTAATTACCAGTATTATTTTGACCTCGATGATGAGTTTGGCTTGAAAAGTTATAAATAAACCAGATAAAAACTGTATTCAGAAAGTGTCCCATACTCTCAGAAATAAAGGTACGAAACTGTCACTGGGGCAGTGCCCCTCTTGTCACTGGGGCAGTGCCCCTCTTGTCACTGGGGTGGGACCCTCAAGGGTACAGCTCAGTACCTGTAGTCAGGGAACATAACTGAACCATAATCCACTGAAATGATATGTTCTAAGCTGTACTGACTCCACACACCCCGTCTCGTCTCCAGGCTTTTATTTTACTGTTCTGTTTTAAAACATTCGGTTATGAAAAGGTACAAATACGAACTTTTCACCTGGAAACACTTATTTAAGGTTCACAATCAGACCTTAAAACTACTGTTGTACCTTTGAGGGAACATTTACATTGTTTGTACCTTTATGAACGAAAAATGTACCTGAACAGAACCTTTATTTCTAACAGTGCAAGACTACTTTTGAGCAAAGTATGTGAAATTAAGGTTAAATGGGTGGAGCTCTTTGCTGTAGGCACTTTTAGGGCTGAATTATCCAAGCACACAATGTACTGTGAGGTGCTAAAGAGGAGACCACCACTGGAGCAAAAATCTGGGCTGTCTGGTGTCAGTTTGAGGATCACTGTCTTAACATAAGGGGAGATGGCAACAGGCGTAGGCCTGGGCCAGTAACACTAGTAGCTGTTGGTTGTAAATAGTAAGTTACTTTGAAGAAATGATTATCATAATGTTGTCACTGATATGATGCTCTGAAATACTGAAATACTAGTTACAAGATATTCTTACGTATAACTGCATTATAAAGAAATATTTGAAGCAGCATTAGCTAGAACCAATGTAAGAGACCCTTGAATATGGTTACATAAATACCTTTTGTTATCTGAAGATTAAGAGATAAAATCAAATGAGGATTTGACGCCGCTGGTCGGTCGGAGTCCAGTGAGATCCACAAGCTCAGACGGTCACTTGCCAGATGTGTTTTTCAAAGATTTTTTTTTTTTTTTTTTTAAATTAAAACAAAGAGGGCTGTAATGTTTTGTGTGAAACAGCTGAAGGCGTCTCCAGGCAGCGTTCGAGTGTCCGGTCAGTCAGGGGCAAGGCGGACCGTGGAGAGCTCTCCGAGTCCCGCTGGACCCTCGAGCCCAAGCCCCAGACTCAGACCGGTATCCACAGGCCGCAGGTTACCACGGAAACGCTGTTGCTCGGACGACCTGTGGATCGAGGAGGAGAAGAGGCGGCAGAGGAGGCTGGCCAGAGCCGCACTGACCAAGCTTCGGGCACGTCCACCTGAGGAGAGAGAGAAAGTAAGAGCGGAAACAGGAGGACTGAGACTCCACACCTCCTGCTCCTTCACTCTTTCCTTCCTTCCTTCTGTCTCGAGTCTTGAGTGAAGCATCGCCTGTCTTCGTTCTCAACTTTGTTCTGTTTGTTTTTCCACTTTCTGCTCCTCTCTTTCCAAACTTGTTTACGTTTCTCTTGCTTCCTTTTCAAGTCTTTGTTCCTCTGGGACGTTCTTTTAGTCACTTTGTTGTCAGCGTGAGAATGAAGCTGAAGGTGAGATCAGCAAGTTGAATATGAGAGAACATTTATTGGTGCTTATCACAGACTGGATTGAGTCTCATCAGCTCTCATCATTAGAGTGTTATGTGTTTTATGTAATTATCATGCTGGACTGTTTAGTGCAGAGTGTTTTGTATTTATCATTTAAATTGTTTTTTTCTTTTCTTCTCTTTTCATTAATGTTTTAATCTAACTATACTTTAATGTTTCACAGCACTTTGGTCATTCTTTGTTGTTTTAAATGCACTTTTTAAATGCTTTTTTTTAGACTTTTTGTATCATTCAATCAAAAAGATGTAAACAGAGTCATTCAGAGCGGTTTGGTGTGAAATGTTCTGTTCTAGAGAAACTTACAGAGTCAGAACTGTTCACAGTGGTGGTGATAGGAACCAGACGTCCACCTCTAAAAGCTCCCTCACAGAAAGTTACTATATGAAATGCTTGCATGCATGCACTGTATGTTTATATAAGGCGATGTAAGGCAATATGCACACAAAAAAAAATCAACATTACATATATAGACATGTATAGCTTCACTGGTGTTTTTGGATAGTAAATCCAGACATCAACTCTAAATGACTTTGTTGACATCTCAGCTTTGAAATTATGCAAGAATTTCAGGACTTTGGTGGAATTCCCCTTTAACATTAGATTGTGGTGTAGCCAGTATTTCATTTTAGATTGTGGGGACCAGCTGAGAAGCTTTACTGCCCAAAGACATAGTGAGGATGACAACCACAACTAGCCAACTGTATTGTAATGAAACCACTAGAAAATGACCTACCCATTACCGTAATTACAGGAGCAAAATAAACAAACATGTTTGAATATTAAACACAACACACACTGTTGCTTACCTCACATTTAACTGGCTAACAACTGACATAACACCACAGTGGGTTGACTTCTGTTTACTTTGCTACCGTCAGCTACTGCTACTCGCTAATTGGCTAAGCAGCCTATAGGAACTGTTAGCACAGCTCAGCGAAGTTCTCACCATCAGGAGAAACAGCTGGGCAGCGTTATGCTGGGTTTACATGTTGGCGCTGAAATAAAAATGTCCTTCTCTGCCTTTTTTTGCATGGCTGGCCTCGGCATGCAGCCGTGTAAGTGTTGCTGAAGTCCGCTGAAAAATTGTGATGAACTAATAAGAGATTTGCCAGGAAAAACATCATGAGGATGCAAGAATACAGCACCTTTGACCATGACTACCTTAGATTTTATAGTATTTTCAGAAATATTACAGAAATTATATCAAAAATCTGGGCGTGGCTTTCAATTGGAAAGACTTAAACCCCCAGGCCCCCAGGGCAACCCCACAGCTACACCTCTTGATCGCTTTCATCATTGCCACTATGTATTAGACCAGTGGTTCTCAATCCTGGTCCTGGAGTACCAGTGACCTTCCTGTTGTTGTGTTTTGTTCTGCCTTAATGCCCCCAGTTCACCTCAGGACGGGGTTATTAATTAGTTCATTAGTTGGATCAACTGTGTTGGGAGCGAGGAAAACTCTAGGATGTCACACAGAGGCATTGAGGAGTTCAGTCCAGCGGTATATCTAAAGGTGGGCCTGGAAGGCCTAGGCCTCCCCGTTGGACAGCCAGGCCTCAATGCACAAATCAATCAGACCACAAAATGAACCACAAACAAACCATGCTTAGACCACCTTGGGAGGTGGTCATAGTTCGGTTCCTTTGTGGGTCCATTTAGAGGGGTCTGAGTTTGTTTGAGACAAAACCGTGTATCTCCATTTTTAGTTGCCCTTTATGAAGTGTCTAAATTTCATGATGGACAGACCAACGAAAATGGTCCAAAATTACTATTTTTTAATCCATTTACTTCCATTAAAGGCAAAGCAAGTTTATTTATATAGCACCTTTCATACACTGCTGTCATTTAAAGTGCTTTACAAATGAGAGTTGCTTAAAAAAAGAATAGAATTAAAAACATGATTAAAACATTAGATTTAAAACAGAAAATCATTAAATAAGAAATGAAATTAGGATAGTTAAAAAATCAAATTAAAGCTAAAAGTTACATTAGGGTTAAAAAGTGTTTAGAAACGCTAACAGTGTTTAAACTGCACTGAAAGCTGCTCAAACAGTAATGTTTTTAGCCTGGATTTAAAGTGTCCAGTGTCGGGGCTCTTCTAATGCTCTCTGTCAACTGGGTCCATTTAAGAGCAGCACAGTAGCGAAACGCTGCTTCTCCATGTTTAGTCTTTTCCTTAGGCAGGACTAACTGACCAGTTCCTAATGAGTTCTGCTCTACTCATGTCGCTGCAGCAGATCAGATAAATACACTGCTCCTGCACCAATGAGCGATTTATAGACCAGTAATAGTATCTTAAAGTGTATTCTGGAACAGACTGGTAGCCAGTGTAAGGATTTAAGGAGTGTGGGGGGTGATGTGTTTCTGCTTTTACTCCTGGTGAGACTCTGGCAGCTGCATCCTGAATCAGCTGAAGCTGTTTGATTGTGTTTTTTTGGGAGTCCAGTTAGGCGACCATTACAGTGATCAATCCTGCTAGAAATAAAGGTGTAGATGAGTTTCTCCAGGTCTGCTTTTTTCAGAACACCTCTGATCTTGTTGTTCTTAAGGTTATAAAAAGTTCAAATAAATATATAAATAAGTGATTTAGTAACTGCTTTGACATGACTACTAAAACTAAGATCGGAGTCCATCAGTGCACCATGGCTACATAGTTAAGAACGTTTTTCCTTCTCCTGTAAAGTTTCCTTTTTGGAATATGAGGTTTTGTTCCGACATCAGCGATATGAAAAAGTAACAACATGTCAGTGGTCTGAGACCACTTAAATACTACAATGGATGTTCCTCTGAAGTGTGGTAGCCACTGGTTGAATGCATAACGTTAATGATGGGATGAATTTAACAGTAAGCATTTTGTAGACATTGTGGTGGGTCCTGATATTTGACCCAAACTGACCATTGTTTATTCAAGATATGCCAAAACTGCAACAGCAAAATAGGCGCTGACTACTTTAACGATTCAAACTAATTTTTAATAAAAATATTGTTTATTATTGCAGATAAACCTCTTTAAATGTCCCCAGGAAGTAGGTTTTTTTTTAATGCCTGTTTGCTAGAGCTGGACACCAGGCATCTTTTATTTGTGTGTAACTGCTGACCCATAGATTGTCGTTGGAGAAAGTGGGTTAGAACAGATATTATGTTGCAGTGCATGCTGGGAACTGTAGTGCAGCTCAGGCTGAAACAAGCTGATAATAATAGAAAATTTTAAATAATTTTGCCGGCCAAAAAGTGTTGTGCAACGGGCCTGACTTGGCCCGCGGGCCTTGAGATTGACCCATGGGGTCTAGACAAAGTAACATCATCTGTAACATTATGTCTTGAGTGAAATGCGACTGACCCTTACATTTTCTCTTCAGACAGGTATCCAGCTCTCTCGCTCCACTGTGGAGGTTTTTCCAGGGATGCCCCTCAGGGCGCTAAGCTTCTCCCACAGCGCCCCCACCGGCCTGGACTGCCTCAGCTGGAGACGACGCATGTCCTACCCCTGTAAGTACTGTATAAGTGTGTAGGTGTGTGTCCCGCCTCTCTCGTCCGCTTATCTCTGTGTGTTTTGGATGCAGATGCTGAGAGTGTTGGTTAACAGTCAGTGTGCAGATTATGAGATATTTAGGAGATCTGCTTTTGTTACTTAAATTTATTTCTTTACAGCAACACTGCCATAAATCCAGGATTAAGCTCTTTAATGACGCCAGGGACAGCTGGCATGTGCAGCAACTGCTTTAGGTTTTTGGAGCCAATTTTTGGACAGTGTTATTGTAGTACTGAGTCATGGCCAGCAGGTGGCAGCTGATCTGTGTATAATGGGCTTGTGTGGTTTGCCTCTGTACCTTCTATTGAGCAGTGAAGTGAAATAAATCCTGTCCAAAGTAATTATTTCTCACAGCCTAAGCTCAGTCGGGAGTGAGTGGAGGCAGGCAGCCTTTTTAATGTAGTCGTACCACCCAGTCAGTCATGCACAGTGTAATATAACTTGAGTAGAGCTTTGGGGGGAAGTACAGTGCCATTCAGCATAATCAATAGCTGCAGATAATTATAGATGCATAAACTTATAACATTAGATAATCATATGTTGAGCTATAGATTATTGTATATGAAGTGCAATCAAGTACAATACTTCTAGATAATCATCAGTTACATGCAATAACTGTAGATAAGCATACACTGTTTAATCATGGATGGACTTTTACAGTATTTAACAGTAATTTGTCACAGTAATATACTGTATTCATGGTTTTATTGTGAATTCAACTCATCAGCAAAGCACAGTGAGGTTGGCATTGGAACGTACTGTGCAGAGATATGACAGTTTTGTTGTTTTGATGATTTTTGCACTTGTTTTTCCTTTTAAATCGCTCAAATGCTGGAACAATTAAGTGTTGACAAAATGTTATTGTTCATTGCCAGATATGAGTTATAAGTAAAGTTAAAATGCCTGTTTGTTTGAAATATTCTCTGCATACACATTTTTAAAAATATTTTCAGAATTTCTAACTTGTTTTAACCCTTTTGTTGCCATAAGAAGGCTAAAGCAGAGAGCTAATAGCAGGTTTTACAGTGATCTGGCTGTGTGTTTGTGCTGTATTTCTGGGTTGTGTGATGTTAGAACTGGTTTCTCTCACTCTGGCTAGTGATGGCAGGTTCCTCTGAGCGCTCTGATGTGTGAATCATGGCACTATTTAAACCCTTTGTTTATAAATGAAGGCTAAAAGCAGAGATGTAATATAACAGTGGCGAGTGGGGTTTGGTGATTTTGGAGCTGGATTGCTGGCTGATGGACGGTCACAGGTGGATGAAATCACTGTGGATGGTGAAGCAGAGTCTGATGAGTGAGCCTGTGGGAACATGAATGCCAAAAAACAGAGCAATGATATCAGGATTTTAGGTGATTTTCCAAGCCGAATTACTCACTGATGTTGACATCACAGCTCGATGATGTATGCTAGCTAGTTTGGGCTGGGCCTGCTGAAAGTCCTGATATGTGTATCATGTCTGTAGCTTAACTCGTTGTGAAGTTTTGAAGGCCAGAAGTCAACTACCATTTTGCAGGTTCTAAAGGTTAAGTGCTTTTATTTTCATTGTCTTGTTATATTGGCAGATTATTGTGCATAATTACCCAAAATGATGGGACTTTCTGCTAATTTCAAGCAAGTAGTAAGTAATGCTTGAAACTCATCTGACAGCAGAATAAGACAATTTCACTAAATAATACCTAGAACAAGTAAGAATACACAGAAATGAGTCAAATAATATAATATTCTGACTGTAGGTATATTACACTTAAAAAGGGTTCTTTACTAAAGGAAATGGTTCTATATAGAACCATGAACACTCAAAGAACCCTTTGCATGAGTTCAGGTTGATGGAGAATGTGCTGTAGATGGTTCTATATAGAAGCTTTTCGAAAAGGGTTCTGTATAGCACCAAAAAGGGTTCCTGTACTGTTATGACTTTAAGCTTGTAACAGTAGAAGAACCCATACACAAGACATTCTGCAATCAGTCTAAAGAACCCTTTCAAAATGAAAAGTACCCTTTAATCATGTAAAGGGTTCTTTGAGTGTTCCTGGTTCTATATACAACCATTTTCTTTACTAAAGAACCTTTGAAGAATCATTTTAATAGTGTGGATTTAAGTTGGTTCCCTTGCCGAGATAGAATTTTTTCAGGTGGGCCTGAATACAGAATGACTCTGAACCCCCTGCGTAGGTGATTAGCTCCCCATAGAGATTATATGAGCCGTGTGGTGTCTGATTATTAGCTTTGAACAGCTATTAGTTTGTGTTTGTCTTGGTGGCTTTTACACTCTGTGTCATTAGTTGTCAGCACTTTTAACTTGATGACTGTTATTGTATCTCTAAAACATCACCAACATGCACAAATAGGCCAATACGTCAGGGGTGTCCAGTCTGATCCACACAGGGCCGGTGTGGCTGCAGGTTTTCATTTCACAAAGCAGGAGATCAGCTTTGGCCGGTTGCACCAGCTGTGTGTAAGTTCTAACATAGGCTTGTTGTTGTGTTTACTAAGTTCAGGTTTATGATTCATTACTAAATCAAAACAAGTTGGGCTGAAAGATTCATTGTTTGTATATCGAAATCGCAATTTAAGACAATGCAATTTTCAAATCGCAAGAGCTGCAATTTTTTAAATTACAGCCTCCACTCTTAAAAATGGTTCTTTAGTAAAGACAGTCATTCGATATAGAACCATGAACACTCAGACCCATTTGCATGCATAAAAAGTTCTTTGCATGGTGAAATCGTCCTTCAGATTGGAGAATGTGTTGTATGTGGTTCTGTACAGCATCAAAAAGGGTTGGTACTGTTACTTTGTTGCTTGTTGATGTCAAGCTTATAACAATAGAAGAACATTTTGGTCCTATAGAGAACTCTTTTCAAAAAGGTTCCACCTAGAACCATTTGCAACACATTCTCCATCAATCTGAAGAACCATTTCACCACGCAGAGAACTTCTCATGCATGCAGATGGGTTGCTGAGTCCTTATGGTTCTATACAGAATCATTATCTTTACTAAAGAACCCTCGAAGAGCTATTTTTATTAAGTGTGTACATTCGCAAAAATGGGAAACTGAACCTAATAAGAGTTTGTGAACAGCCTGTAGGTGAGTTAGACCAATCAGAGGCAACCAAACCTCCATGTGTTGTGACATCACAACCACAACTTACTGGCAGTTTGGCACACTACGTTCAGGCGTCGAGCCTCAAGCCAGAAAAGGTGAATGTTCTGGTTTTTAGGCCTCTTTTTTTTTTTTTTAAATCTCAATTTCATTTGCAATCGCAATATTAGTTGGAAAAATCATGATTAGATATTTTCCATAAATCGTTCAGCCCTACTTAGTAGTTATATTTACACCCACTCTCCGGAAACTCTGGGGAAACCATCCGAAACCATGCAGAAAGCACAAAAAAGGCCAAAACATGACTTTTTTTGGTTAACTAAGCTATAAACTCTAAACAATATATGCTGTGATTTTACTTATAGCTCTAATCATCGCCCTGGTTTAAACTTGGTGCATGAAGCTAAACACCCACAACTCCAGCTCAGTGAGACTCAGCAGCTGCACAAACGGCTAAACTGATCTGCTGTTGAGTCGCTCAGCCAGAAACCGCTGCTTAAAAAGCTGCATATTTGGTTTCTCAGTGGAATATTAAAGAATAAACACGCAGCGGCTGTAGATCATTAGTTTTATTCAGTTGTACACATTGTTCTCATCCATGTTGGATATTATGTCCATGGAGAATCAGAGCAGCTGCCGTCGCGTTTCCATGGCAGCGGGTTTAGTGATTGTTTCTGAGCATGATATCATCATGCCGGTCATTAAAGCGACATACGCATTAGTTCTTACTAGTTAAGACCTGACTTACAGATTTGTGGTGCAATCAGATTAAGTAAAAGGATAGTTTGAAACTAACCAGTGTAACCAAAGACTTTACGCCCAAACTTCAGTATAAACTTGTGCAAACCTGGTGGAACTCAGCCCTGATCGGCAGTTTGAGGGCTGAGACCAGCTGATTACAGAGGTGGAATCAGGTGTGTTTCAGCTTGTCTGGAGTGAGAACCTGCAGCCACACCGGCTCTTTGCGGATACGACTGGACACCCCTGAGATACGTCATGTGAATACTGCAGTGAAATGCAGTGCAGTGCATTTTCAAAATGTCTGCACAATTAAATTGATGAGGTGTCAATCAGAGTGGTTTGGTGTGAAATGGTTCACTGTAGAGAAACTTACTGACCCAGATGTCTTTACAGTGGTGGTGATAGGAACCAGGGGTCACCATGACTACAACACAAATATAGACATTTTATTTACAATCAAAACCACCAGTGAACCTACAGGAGTCAAGTGAGTTGTGGGTCATTCTACAGAAACGCCCATCCATAGGAGTCACAGGTGTTACTGGTCCTCATTGGTGTTACACATAAGAAAGGTAACACCAGAGGCATTTTTTCCAAAACGGCTGCTACAGAGCATCAAACCACATGTTGTCAATCATGGAATATCCACTAAAATATGTAATTTAATCCATTTGTATTCTGTTTTTTCACAATTACCTAAGAATAAAGTCGGTCACACCAGTGACTTCAGCTAACAGCTTCATATGAAATCATGAGAAAATCTCTGATAACTGAAAGACACAGTGGACTCACCATGTGCTTTTCTTCATAGATCCTCAGAAAACAGGTAAAAGGAAGTCATCAGTGATGTCATCAGTGTGATTTTTGTCACACGACTCCTGGGGACAACTTTCATTATATATTTTATAATATTTATTTGGCATTTGTTTTCTTTGTCATTTAAATAATATATTTCTTAGTCATGTAGAGATTATTGCAGTTAAAATAGCAGAAAAACGTGTTTTTTACCTCAAAATATGGCCTCAGCCTTTACACATGACTGTGGGGACGAGCTCTACTGTGGTGCTTGGAGTTCTAGATAATTGATTTAAAAAACAATACTGCTAAA